CAAGTCCCATCCCATTATTATCTACAAAACCCAAAAGCCCTAGATGATCATTTATTACGGTAGAGATATGGTGCTACAGAACACATCCAATTAAAAACTAGTTAGTTTCTTGAATCTGATATCAGAAAAATTAAATGGTGGCAATGAATGATCCAAAAACTTGGGTGCCATATTGGAACACAAGGGACTGTTCTCAAGGATTCTGCAGCCTATACTGCCCACAATGGTGTAATTACAAGATCACCCCTCCTCCTCCACCCTCCTCTTCCGCTCATCGCCCCTACTTTTCACCTCTCATTATCGCCATCGCCGGAATTCTGGCCGCCGGTTTCCTCCTCATCAGCTACTACGCCGTCATGTCCAAGTACTGCCGGAACCGACCCCCCTCTCCGGATCCCGGTTCAAGCCACGAGGATCAGCCCTGCAACGCCGCCGCCGGCGAAAATGGGCTGTGTGAAGCCCGGATAAACTCCATCGCCGTCTTCAAGTACCGGAAGGGAGATGGAGCTGTGGACGGCTCAGATTGCCCGGTTTGCCTCGGCGAATTTCAGGAGGACGATCGCCTCCGGCTGCTGCCGACTTGCCGCCACGCTTTCCACGTCGCGTGCATTGATCCGTGGCTTAAATCCAACTCCAATTGCCCTCTTTGCCGGGCGAGCATTGTGTTCTCGACGGGAAATCAAGAAAGAAGAAGCGATGAACCGGAGATTCCTGTTAGAGATAATAGGCATGAGCATAGTGTGATCCCAATCGCGGATAATCATGGCGGGGAAAATCAAGAGATTATTAGAAGATCTCTGTCCATGAATTATGTTTATCATCAAGGCCGATTGTCGGTGGCTGATATTCTACGCATGGATGATGATGATCATTTCCCAGATTCCCAGTTGAGACACACGCTCTCACTTTCCAGGGCCAAATTCTTGTTTCCTATGCTTAACAGAGGCCGACTTGCAACGATTCCATTCTGAATTCTTTTCATTTGTTCCCATATATCCTCACAATCTAGCTTAATTATTTCAAGATTATATATGTTAACCACATTTTGATTCAAATCTTCTCATCGGTTTTGGTTTTCATTTGGATTTTTGTATGCATGGAGAACTCAAGAATGGGTACGTTCTATATAAGCAAACTTTTCTCAGCTTCTTGATTTAACAAATTAATTGAAGATTTTTGAAACAAGGTAGTATCTGTTCGGAAAATTATACCATGGAGGGGGTTTACCTTAGTATTGTAGACCTTGGTCCAAAAATAACCTTAAGATTTTGTATCTATAGTTGACACATTCTGTACGTACAGTTGATAGTTTCTGTACTTGTAGCTATCATATTATGTGTCAGCAATTATCAAGTCAGATAGTTTCTGTACTTGTAGCTCTCATATTATGTGTTAGCAATTATCAAGTCAGATTCTATATCTATAGTTGACACATTCTGTACTTACAATTAATAGTTTTTGTACCTGTAATTATTATATTATGTGTTAGCAATTATCAAGTTATTTGTTTACATGTACAGAAATTGTTAACGGTAGATACAGAATGTGTTGACTCACTGTACAAAATTTTTGTATCAGGGTTCACATGGGTTCACAATGTGAACCCTAGGTCCATGGTATAACAATTGGTATCTGTTCTATACTTTCTTAATGATGACCACACATTTGGAATGGTAACAGTAACAAAAGGTGTCTATCTTGCTACATAGTAGTTGGCAATTAATTAAAGATTTATTCACACTGATATTTGTTTTTTGTTTTCAACATTTTGACGTCAGAAAGACATATATATTGTGGCTCTTTAATTTGTATTGCTGCTAGAGAGGGATATGTGTACTCAATTAGTCAATTGTTTGGTTTGATTTGAACTCCATTTCTAAATCAAATAGAATATTTCAATTTTACATTTCTATCTAAATAAAAGTAGCCCTAAATAATGCAGTATAATCATAGAGTTTGCACGATTAGAGTAACGTTTGTTTAGTGATGAAAAAGTATAAGGGAGGGGAGATGGGTGAATAAACTTCTTAAAGTTAAAAATACTTTAGCTTTGATTAAAAGGTTTAACTAAGTTAATTTCTCAATACTACTATTGTTAGTGTTTAGTCTTGTAAAATCTCAACTTGTAATAAGTAAAATTATTATGACAAAATAGATAGTTTAGGTCTGATGGAACATAAACTACGCTAGAGCCTTTGGAAACTAGCCGTTGGAACTATACCGACTTATCTTCTACAGCTGGTAGAGTAGTTACGCATCATAAAATTATTTTACAAGAATATCCACCTCTGGCTTAAATACTTCAAGGGTAACACAGTAATTCATTCTACATGAAATGTCTTAGGATTACTTGTCTTAAAAGTTCCAGAGTACTATATATACTGGTCAAAGAGATTCTTCAATAGAACACACAAGATAGAACTACAAGAAATAATCTTTAAGATTTGAATATCAAGAAACTATCTCTACAATTTACAAGAGAAATACTGTTTTAAAAGCCTGGCCTGAAGCCTTTTTAAAAATCTATAATATTTAGGCTATTAGAAAGGCTTCAAAGTAAGTTCTACTTTGAACCTATTTAAAACCTACATGTTAAGACTTTTTAAAAACTTTAATAAATATATCTAAACAATTTAATAAATATACTTAATACAAAACTAATACATAATTACATAAGTGTATATATGTGTATATATATATATATATATATATATATATATATATATATATATATATATATATATATATATATATATCACCACAATGCAAACATAATAACATTAAAATATAAAACAAAACAAAACAAGTCACGACTTCGATCAGCATGCTCGTTAACTTGTTTAGAAATAAATTCAATTATATTACTTTTTGTTACCCTATATAATCTCATAAACAACTAACAATCAACTCACATAATTAAGTTGCGACATTTCATTAAATATTATGACAGTAATAATAGTTAATAAAAAAAAAAAACAATAAGAAGGATTATATTAGCAACAATGTTTATAGTTGATCATAATTTAGAATGGGATTTTGGAGGTGGAGGGTTAGGGTTTGATAATTATATATACTTGGGGTTATATTGTAAATATAAAAATATATTATGTATAAAATAGAATATATATATATATATATATATATATATATATATATATATATATATATATATATATATATATATATATATATATATATATATATGTATATATATATAGGAAGGTTCAAGTGCGGCAATGCACTTAGGTGCGGCGGTGCGGTTAATTGTAGGCCATTAGATTAGATAAATCCAACGAATCACATTCATCAAGGCTTTTCCGATATTTTCGCGCGCGTTCTCACAGTACGCGAACTGCAAGGTTAAAGTCGTCATTAGGCACCAGAATATATCAAATCATAGTGTTGTGTGTTTTATGTTCATTATTGGTGCATTATTAACCTTACTGTGGTGTATTTGAGAATTCGTGTTGGTGCCTTCCCGAGCGGTCAGTGCGACCGCACTAATATTATACAAATATACACCATCCATGTTAGAAAATGCACACCAAAAAAAACATGCACAAATTCGATACGCATCACCAGAACACACCACTAGGTATGACTAAAAGCATCACACAGTGTTCAGAATACACCATTGGGGTGGTGAGTTATATGGTGTATTTTTTGGGTGTGTTGTGTGTTTTTTGGTGTATTTGTGCATTTCATTGTGGTGCTTTTTCCTAACACTATTGGTGTATTTTGTTAACACTGTTGGTGTATACTGACAAGCGACCGATATAAATAACCACTACAATTACCATAACACCCCCACTTACCAGGACGCGCTTAAATCTTTAAATCTTCAGAAATTAGCCGCTGCCGTTAGATTAAGCAGAATGGACGACGCTGATATGACCGCACCGCCGCACCTAAAGCCACTGCCGCATATGAGCCTTATTCTATATATATATATATATATATATATATATATATATATATATATATATATATATATATATATATATGCTTGAAGGTCGAGCCTGTATATATAGGTTTGGCCTGTTTAGTTTAATAGATTTTGAAATTAGCTCAAGTCTGACCTTTTTATTAAACGAGCTAGGCCTAACTAGGTCTTAATTAGGCCATGACATAGGCCCCTACAAGGGGTCTGGCCTATTCCCACCCCTAAGGCAGATTTTAGTGTAAACCATGGTCGGTGTAGTAATGTGGTTCATAAAATAAGTATCATTCTAATTACACTTTAGTTTCATTTGACAATATTGCTCTGTTTTTCAGTTTCACTTTTCATATTCACTAGTTTCATTATACCAATACCAAAGTATCATTTTAATTCTACTACACTTTCATTTGATAATAGGGAAAATGGCACTTTTCCCCCTAAGTTATATACTTATAGCATTTTTCCCCCCTCAATTATTTATGTAAGCACATTAGCCCCTCAATTATTTTAAAAGTGGTGGTTTTTCCCCCTGATATATTAAAATGACATTTCTACCCTTAAAGTAAACATTTTATTTATTTTACTTCTCCAACAAATTATTGTGTATATGTAGCAATGACCACGGTTCAGTTCGAACTAAACCGGACACTATAGCAATCGAATTAAAACTTTTCGATTATGATTCAGATCTAGAACCCAATATTTGAATTTCAATTTATTAAATTTATGAACCAAAAAAACTGGATCATGAACCGTGAACTGGCAGTTCTGGATCCGGTTCGCGATTTTGAACCGTCTTTATTTTAAAATTTTATTTTATTTTTTATTTTAAAATAATCTAAATTCAACAATAAATGTATTTTATTTTTTCAGTTCGGAACATGAACCGGCCATTCCGGTTTGCGATTTTAATAAACTCTAAATATCGCGTTTTGATTCTAAATTGTAATTGGAATATTTTGGTTTGGTTGCTATAGTATCTGTTTGGTTTGAACCAAATTATAGTAATAATTTGTTGGAGAAGAAAAATAAATGAAATATTTATTTTAAGGGTAAATATGTCCATTTAAAATTTTAGGGGGGAAAAGAGCCACTTAAATAATTCAGGGGGGAAAAGTGCTATAAATATATAACTCAGGGGGAAAAAATGCCATTTTCCCTTTGATAATATGCATTATTGTATGAGTTCTACTTTGTTACGTTGTTTCATTTTCCACACAAACTAGCTTAATTATAAGGCCTTCTCCAATGGAGCGGCATTTGTGACACCAAACACCAAAATGGAGCTGATTTTGGCGCTGCACTCCTCCAACGAAGCGCCAAAAGAGGCGCCATTTTGGCGATGATCTACAGTGCAACGTCATATTTGGCGTTGCACTGTATCTTGACGCCAAAATGGTGTTAATCTTTTTAATTTTCACTTTGACCCTTGTCTTTTTTATTAATTCCTTTTGTATTCCTATTTTGTTTTTATAAATTTACATATTTTATTAAATACATAAACATAAAATTTGAATAATTAAAAATAAATTATACCATTTGAAAGATCTCATTAATACGATTAAAACAAGCCTAATATTATATATAGATTAATTAAAAATTAAAATACATAAAACATAATTTTCATAATATTAAACTGAATACATCCGAAATTAAATAAAACATAGAATTAATAGAGAAGCACATTATGCACTTAGAAAGTTTTAATTTATAAGAAAACAAATTGTTTTAGTGTAGAAATAGATTTTGGTGTAGAATGTGGTGTAATGGGTTGGAGATGAATAAAATTTGGTGTAAGAATATTCTAGGAATATTTCTTTTGGTGTAAAATTTGGTGCAGAATTTGGTGTAATGGGTTGGAGATGGCCTAATAATGCTAAAGTATTGTTTTAATTACACTCCACGTTCATTTGACAATATATGTTATTGTATGGTTCTGAATTTTAGTTTCATTTTTCACACACACTAGTTTCATTTTAACAACATTAAAGTATCATTTTAATTATACTACAGTTTCATTTGACAATATGTTGTTGAATGAGCTCTGTTTTTTAGTTTCATTTTTCACACACACTAGTTTCATTTTAACAACACTAAAGTATCATTTTAATTCTACTGGAGTTTCATTTGACAAACATGACCTACATAGAACTATGGACCATGGTCCACGGTATAACAACCGCACCCCTAACCCTATGGTTCTCAAGTTGCAAGTAAAGGGATTTGACAGCAGATTTTAGGGGATTGTGGCATCTTTTTGGACGACTACCACTTGTTTAAGTGACAACTAGCAAACTCAAATTTCAAGTTATACTTACCTCTTCTAATCTATATATAAAATCAGGATCCCAAGCTTACAAGAAGATGCTGGAAAAATAATTTCTTTTGATCAAGTACGGAAAGCTATTGAGATAAATTGTCATGCTGCAAAAACTAGTCTTCTAAACTTAAGAGAATCACTTTGATTCTTTAAAAGTCTAGCACTCAACCAAATACCATCTTTTCAGACTAAGTATAGAAGCAATCAATTCTTGTTCGCCCATCATTTTGGATTATTACTAAATTTAGTATTCTTGAATTATCGTGTTCACTTAATTTAACTCCCCAATCTTTCTTAATTAAGGCATCCCAATCAACTTGTGTTCTCTCCTAGCTTGAGCTCGTATGAGAGGTCTTCCACGTAAGACAAAAGGATCTTGATCATCAATTTGGCTTCCATTATCCTCCCTCCCTTGGAATGGATTCAACCACAAATTTGTTTTCAATAGAAATATGCACACATAATCTTCACGTAAACCACAGTCTAAAAATAATTAGATACACAAATTTAAAGAAGATTGTTCTCTTTTGGATAAACACTACTCGGGAAAGGAGTTCATCTTCTAGATATCTTATATGCACAGAATACAGACCAAGGAAACCCTAAAAATCTGTGTGTGAGTCGCAGATTTTTTTTAGCATTATTCTTGCTGTAAGAAAAATTTTTCAAGAGGTAGTTCTCCTATTTTGTGTGGAAATTGGAGATCAGGATGAATCAAGAATTGATCAAGAATGCTTAAAGATTCAATTGTATAACCTCTTAAGGTGACTTTCAAATTAAAGCAAATAGCTTTGGAGAGCCCTAGAAAACTCACAAGTAAAAAAACAAAATAAAACAAAACAAAAACAAAACAAAAAAAGTCAAAGCTTTATTAATAATGCATGTACTTTTAGGAAACTAACTAAGAGATAAAGATTAAAACAAGTTGACAAGCTATCTTGGATAATGTAGATCAAATAACTTCGGATAGTTATGCAATTGATTCGGGTTTACCTTGCAAGGTGGACTCATGTTCAAAACGACGTAGTTTGTACGTGTGAAAATAATGGTGTTGTTAGTGGCACTAATTTCATAGCCAATCATTTTTTTTAATTATTGAAAACAACTCAGTGAGTGAATATTCAGTTATGTAATTGTAAATATAGAGTTCTTTAATTGTGAATATAGAGTTATGAAATTGTGAATATAGAATTATGTAATTGTGAATATAGAGTTCTGCAATTGTGAATATTGAGTTATGCAATTTTGTATATTGAGATCTAAAATTATGAATATTCAGTTCTAAAATTGTGAATATAGAGTTCAAAAATTGTGAACATAGAATTTTGTAATTTCGTATATTGAGATCTAAAATTATAAATATTCAGTTCTAAAATTGTGAATATAGAGTTCAAAAATTGTGAATATAATCCGGGTCCATCTTGCAAGATGGACCCGAGACCACAACATAATTGGCCCAGGCAAATTATTGTGTGGACCATGGTCCACACAATGTTATGTGGACCATAATAAAAAGTACATTTTTAATATACTAAATGTACGTTATTTTTGTACTATATGTACATTATACAATATAATGTATACTCAGTACAAAAATAATATACATCCCTTGAATACAATGTATATTAGTTTTATACTGAATGTACATTAATTTTGTACTGAATGTACATTATTTTACAGTATACAAAATATAGTCCACACAACTTGTGTGAACCATGGCGCAAATTATGTTGTGCAACCGAATGCACCTTGCAAGGTGCATACGGTTGCAAAACGGCGCCGTTTTGGTTAAAAAAACGCGCGTTCCACTTAAAGAAGAAATCAGGTTCGATTCTCGGCAATAGCATTTTTATATATCCAGAAATTCATAACTATATAACCACAATTTCATAACTATATATCCACAATTTCATAACTATATATCCACAGTGAATGAATGAAGTAAAAATCCACAATGAATGAATGAATGAAGTAAAAATCCACAATGAATGAACTAAATATCCACAATATATGATTGAACTAAATATCCACAATGAATGAACTAAATATCCATAAATTCATAACTATATAACCACAATTTCATAACTATATATCCACAATTTCATAACTATATATCCACAGTTAATGAATGAAGTAAAAATCCACAATAAATGAACTAAATATTCACAATATATGATTGAACTAAATATCCACAATGAATGAACTAAATATCCATAAATTCATAACTATATAACCACAATTTCATAACTATATATCCACAATTTCATAACTATATATTCACAATAATGCTATTGCTGAGAGTCGAACCTGAATTTTTTTTTTAAGTGGGACGCGCGTTTTTAATCAAAACGACGTCGTTTTGAACCGTATGCACCATGCGCATGGTACATTCGGTTGCACAGCATAACTATCGGAACCATGGTACACAGGCCACACAATAATGATTGATTTGCCCTCTCTTGGGCTGCACTTGAACTTCCTTGAATGGCCCATGAATTGTCTTCAAAGTTGGGCCAAATATGGAAACAATTAATTCTTTCTTGCATATCATTTTGGTTTACTAAATTAACCGTTCTCGAATTATCTTGTTCATCACTTAATTTTGCTCTCCAATCTTTCTTAATTAAGGCATTCCAATTATCTTGTATTTTCCTAGCTTGAACTTGTATATGAGAGGTCCTCCACGTAAGACCAAAGGATCTTGATCGTCAATTCGGTCTCCATCATCGCATTGTTTATAAAAGCCTATAAATTCTTTATGTATTTGCTTTTCCATCTCCCCAAGGACTTGATAAGCCATGGATGAAGGCTTTAAAGATTTACTAAGAGTTTTGAGAGATTTTGGAACAGTTCCAATATATTGTATCTCATTGAAATAGTATTTACTTTTCTGTTAGAATAGTAAGATGATCTCTAAAGATTTACCAACCTAAGATACTTTCAAAAGAAGTTAGGCACGCAACTACTAAACTTAGATAGTTTTGTAAAAAGAAATGGGCAGATTCCTTATGTGCACCGGCATTTAGTTCTGTCTGTTGTGCCATTGAGTCACCGTGATTTACATCCTATCAAATGCTCGGTCGGGTCGGGGTGTCCAGGGGTCATTGGGTTGGGGATTCAACGTTTTGTAAAAAGAATACCAAAACAAAACCTTAGTTTCCAAAAGTTTGATCAAGCTTTATACATCTTTGTTCGAGAGGATCCATTGGTTTCCAAATAGGCTCCCAGTGATGAGACGATGTTTTGTTCAAATTCAAATAATTGATCAGATTGTTGAGAAGACAATGCAGAGAGTCCTATAGGAGAGTTAACATAATACTCTCCTGTTATTCAGGATAGAACAATTGACTAGTCTACATCTAATAATAATAATAATAAATCATACAATATAAATGTAAATATAAATATTACTAACACACCCCCTCAAGCACAAGGGTGGATGCAGACAACATTGAGCTTGTCCCTGAGAGTCTGAAAACGCGGAGCTGGTAATGGTTTGGTGAAGATATCCGCTAGCTGGTCTTTGGTGGAGACGAAGTTGACAATGAAATCCCCGGCAGCTACTTTATCACGGACGAAGTAAAAATCTATCTCAACATGTTTTGTCCTGGCGTGGAATACTGGATTTGTTGCTAAGTAAGTGGCGCCCAGATTATCACACCACAATGTCGCAGGAGTACCAGAGTGTAGGCCCAGCTCCCGAAGTAAGGAAACAACCCAGGTTACCTCGGCGGCTACATCAGCAAGGCCTTTATACTCAGCTTCAGTCGAAGAGCGTGTTACAGTGCGCTGTTTCCGTGATAGCCACGATATAAGATTAGTCCCTAGGAAAACCGCATAGCCACTAGTAGATTTCCGGTCAACCGGGCATCCAGCCCAGTCAGAGTCTGAATATGCATGCAGATCGGAAGCTAGTGAGGGAGTCAGACGAAGCCCATAATCCAGAGTGCCCTTGACATATCGTAGGACACGCTTAAGTAGTCCCCAGTGATCCTGCGTTGGAGAATGCATGAATTGACAGAGCCTATTGACTGAAAAAGATAAATCGGGGCGAGTGATAGTGAGATATTGTAGAGCCCCAACAATTCTGCGGTATTGCGTCGGATTATCAAACGGATCTAGAGTCGGTGTAGCCGGTTGTGTAACTGAAGCTGGTGTAGCCAATGCTTTGCAGTCTGTCATACCGGCACGAGACAATATATCAACCATGTACCTACGCTGTGACAAGAGAAAGCTATCCCCGTCCGATAGCGTCTCAATGCCCAGAAAGAACGTAGGTTTGCCTAGATCCCTGATTTTGAAGGTAGAAGATAAACGCTTGAGTAGAGAGTCAATTAATGCTGAATCACTGCCCAACATAATAATATCGTCGACATAAACCAGTAAAAATACACGTGAACTGCCGTCAGTGTAGTGAAATAAAGACACATCAGTTTTGGAAGCCATAAACCCTGTTGAGATTAAGAATTCATGTAACCGTTTAAACCATGCCCTGGGTGCCTGCTTGAGACCATAAAGAGAGCGTTGTAAGTGACACACGTGATCGGGATGAGTGGGGTCCTCGTACCCCGGTGGCTGTTTCATGTATACTGTCTCAGATAGGTGCTCGTTTAGGAAGGCGTTGTGAACGTCTAGCTGACGTAGAGTCCACCTGTGAGACACTGCAAGAGAAAGTTAAATACGAACGGTGGTCGGTTTGACCACTGGACTGAATGTGTCAAAAAAGTCCTCGCCGGCTACTTGGTTAAACCCTTTAGCAACCAGACGGGCCTTGTAACGCTCAATAGATCCATCAGCTTTGCGTTTGGTGCGAAACACCCATTTGCAGCCAATCACATTCATAGCCGGTGTTGCCGGGACTAAGTTCCAGGTGTTATTATGCAATAGTGCATTGAATTCCTGGTCCATAGCATCCCGCCATTGCGGATGGCCAACGTCTTGAGAATAACACGTTGGATCTACAGTAGCGGTGAGTGTTTGAAACTGCTCATCCGTTCCCCGTGTCTTGCGGCGAGTACGCATAACATGAGCATCACCTGTAGTAGGCCGAGGTGTAACCCTACGACGTCTCCGGGTAGGAGCCGGCGCGGGCTCTAAGGCCAAAGGTGGGGGATCCTGTGCCAAGGGTGTCTCAATTGACTGTGATGTAGACTGGGAGTTGACCACTACGGGGCATGATCCCCATGGTATTGAAGCACTCTGCACAGGAGCAACCTGTAAAGAAGCCTGCATAGCAAAGGGGAAAACGGACTCATCAAACCGGACATGACGGCAGATGAAGATTTTCCCCGTGTTTAAGTCATAACAGCGGTATCCCCTATAAGAGACTGGGTAACCTAGGAAGACACACGGTGCCGACCGATATTCCATCTTGTGGCGATTGTAAGGCCGCAGATAGGGATAACAGCGACACCCGAAGACTCGAAAGAAGTTATATGTCGGGTGAGTGTTATATAGACGGTAATATGGGGATTGGAACTGTATGGCTGATGAGGGTAAATAATTTATTAAATGGGCAGCCGTTTCAAAGGCATAGTCCCAATATTGAAGGGGAGTTGAACTTTCAGCTAATAAAGCTAAGCCGGTTTCGACAATATGTCTATTCCGACACTCAACACGACCGTTTTGTTCGTGTGTATAGGCACAAGATTGCATGTGAGTTATGCCTAAGGATTCAAAGACAGTATGTAAACGGCGGTATTCACCCCCTAAGTCGGACTGGATGGCTTTGATAGAACGGGAAAACTGCCGTTCTACCTTGGCCCTGAATAAATTAAAGATTTTATAAATATCTGATTTTAATCTGAGCGGGTAAAACCAGCAAAACCGCGAGTAATCGTCTACAAAGAGAACAAAGTAACGAAAACCCGAATCACTAATGACAGAAGACGGACCCCAAATGTCCGTGTACAATAAATCTAATACATTACGGCTAGTGTTTGGAACTCTATCTAATGGAAAACGTGCTGATTTTCCGAGTTGACATGCGGTGCACATTTTTTACGAACTAGCCTTATTGGGCAGAACCAAACAATTCTTTAAGACACGCTGGAGGAATTCATGGTGTGGGTGACCCAACCGTTGATGCCACACCTGAGATGACGCACGGGAGGACAGGAACGCAAAATGAGTTTGCGGGACCAAGAGCTTGTATAATCCGCCCGATGTTGACTCTTTAAGCAGAACCGTTTGAGTGTTGGAATCCTTCACAAGAAACAAGTTTTTATGAAACTCGAAATAAACATTGTTCTCGTTAGTAAAACGGTAAACAGACAGTAATGGTAACGTTAAATTAGGAACGTGCAGAATATTTGACATGTGTAACATTTTTGACCGGGATGGGATAACCGCATGACCCACACGGGAAACATCCAAACCTGCGCCGTTGCCCACTTTGAGCACGTCACCACCACTGTATGCTTCGGAATGTTGCATCATCTGATCATCCGGGGTCGCATGAGAAGACGCGCCCGTGTCCGGGTACCACGCATCCGGAGCCTGAGACTCATTAGACGTAGCAACGTGAGCCTGTCCACCGTGGGATTGCGGACGATCAACATATCTCTTGAAGCAGTACACGGCCATATGGCCGTGTGATCGACATATCTGGCAGCGGGGTGTGCCATCGCGGCCACGGCCGTTGTTGCCCCTTCCACGGCCTTGCCGTCCACGCCCTCCACCACTCTGCCGTCCACCACCATTCTGCCGCGCCTGCTCACCAGTACTACTGCCGCGACCAGCGAAGAAGGCCGACGGGGAGCCACCAGTGCCGGAGTCCACTACAAAGTCATATGCGTGTATAAATTCCTGGGCTTGCAGATGATCAGCAAGTTGCGACAGCGTGATGGGGTTGCCGGAGACGGTGATCGAACTCGCCATTGCCCGGAACTCAGGCCGGAGACCGCGCAACACATATAGCAGTTGTTCGTCCGGCGAGAGGGGGCGACCTGCGAGAGCTAGGGCTTCAACAATGGTGTGCGCCTTGCCCAAATAATCTGCCGGCAAGCTGCTTCCCTGACGCAAATTCTGGAATTGGCCGAGGAGACTGAGGCAACGTACGCGAGTGGTTGACGCCAGTGCCGTGGTGACGGAATCCCAGACTTCCTTGGCGGTGTGCCTGCCGAGAGCGTGGTGCATAACCTCATCCGAGAAGGACGAGATTAGCAAGGACAAAATAGATTGGTCCTGCTGGACCCAGGCGGTGTGCGCGGGATTAGGCGTCGGTTGTGGAGGTTGTTGCCGCAGCACCATCAGAAGCTAACGCGACGGAGATGGTCTCCGGAGGGCACGGGAGACTACCATCAATAAAACCCAGTAGGCCTTGGCCACGGAGAAAGGGAAGGAGTTGTGTCCTCCAGAATAGGTAATTGCGCGTGGTAAGCTTCATGGATACGAAGTGATGCGCGGCTGAGAGAGGATTTGGCGTCGCCGGCACAGTGGGTGCGGCGGGGATGATCGTAGTGTTAGTGTTTGAATTCGAAGCCATCGTAAAAGAAAGAGAGAGCGAATGCGGAAATCAGATCGAAAAGAGGATCGCAATCCTATCGCAACTGATACCAGATGAGACGATGTTTTGTTCAAATTCAAATAATTGATCAGATTGTTGAGAAGACAATGCAGAGAGTCCTATAGGAGAGTTAACATAATAGTCTCCTGTTATTCAGGATAGAACAATTGACTAGTCTACATCTAATAATAATAATAATAAATCATACAATATAAATGTAAACATAAATATTACTAACACCAGTAACAAGTTCTCCTTTGCTATTAGCCATAGTAACACTTCACTGTCTGAACAACCTACCAACTATCGTTGCATCATAAAAATCTATTTTTCTTACACTAACAACTTCCTCACATTGGGTCGATAGTGACCTGTTCTTAAAATTAGGCAATTTTGACTTTTGGTACCCAAACTAATTAATATGGGTCCAATTTTGTTCGGCAATTATGTTGGAAATATATTGTGGAAGATGGTTCTCAAAGCTTCGTGGACCATGGTCTAAAAACGGCGCCGTTTCTTTAAGTAAAGAAATGGTTGCCGTTACATATTAACGGAGCCTGTATTTTTTGTGCGTTAATTACAAAATGAAACTATAGTGTATCTAAAATGAAATTGTCTCATATATTATTTTTATATTATCAAATGAAACTGTAATTGAATTAAAATGAAACTGTAGTTTTGTTGAAATGAAACTGCAGTATATATAAAATGAAACTAAATAAGCTAAGTATATTGTGCTCAGATGGCATGTAGTGACCTCTCCCATGTAGGAGGTCATGAGATCGAGCCTTAGTGGATGCATTGTCGACTCTTTGTGCTTTATTGGGTTGATAAAGATACTACAATGTAATAATAGTTTTACAAATTTAAGTGTATATTGTACTGAAATGAAACTGTAGTGTATATAAAATGAAACTGAATATGTTATATAAACAGAGCTACTTTATGTGGAACGGGTGTTATTTCTTTTCATTAAAAGAAACGACACCATTTTGGACCATGGTCGACAATGCTTTGTGGCGCGGGTTGTTGGGTTTCCAAAATAACTTTAAGCTACTAGATATGAGGTGCTTGGGTCATTTTTCTTTCTAAGTCTACATAATAATCAAATTGGAATTTGGTCATTTAGTTATACCTGTGATACAATCTTAGTCCATGAGTTATATGCGTGATCATCTTTAATCATAAATTATGTATAAAGTGACGATTTTAGTCATTCGGGGACTATTTCTACCACAAATTTCTCACTTAATAAAGTGACTGATTTAGTCCTTCAAGGACTAAAATCGTCACTCCATGCATAACTTAGGAATTAAAGATGGTCACACATATAACTCAGGGACTAAGTCTATATTAGAGATATAACTCGAAGATCAGACCAAAAATGCAATTCTCAAAATTGAATTATAAATAATTTGAGTTAGGTATCTTCATCTCTATAACTCTATAAGACATACAAAATTTGATGAACGGAGTACAGAAATAAATGCATCATTTTAAATATTTTGTATACATATATTTCATCATTTCTTTCTTAATTTTCTATCTAGTTATGACTAATGTTCTTGTTCACTGTCGTTTTCAATTAAAGACTATCGATCCAACAACCTCGACTAATTAAGAAGTAAGAACTCTATTTAATTTATTCTTATTTGCTCTTTTGTTTAGTACTTTAACCATTTTAACACTTCTCCTATAAGATTGTAGTTTTAAGTCTGCCTATAATTAAACTGCTCTACCATTTGTACCTCTGCTAGCTTTGACTTAATTAACAACTTATTTGCATCCTAAGTTTAGCCTTTACAAGTTATTCTAAAATAGAAATTTAGACTGATTCGGAGTACTAAATTGTCTATATAATTTACTTAGCATCATCATTTTAAGATTCTTAACAGTAATGTGAATTCTCTCAAGACTTAATTCATTGGTACGTTATTCCAAAAGGTTGAATTTCCAAACTCAAAGGTCTCTCACGTCCCAGCCTGATAAAGCATCTTACTGTGCACAAGGAGTCTGCCTCACTTTGAGAAGTTGCTCCCACACTGCCGCTGGTGAAACTCGATCCCTGGTCGTTCTT